GCAGTAGATCACTTGATGCCTATCAAATGTTTCTTATTTATTCGAAAAAAAAAATTTTGAAATGTGATCAAGAAAACTGTTGGTGGCCCACCCCGTACTACAAAAACAAAGACAGCATGAGAGAAGCTGCCTGCCCACTCATTGTATCATGACTGCCTGGTGCCTGCTTACGTCTCGGTCTCCCCACCGCTTAGGTAACGATCGAGCGTGTTCGGTGAACACACGGGTATGATCTCGAGACTCTTGTTTTTGTTTCCTGTGGCTCCTGCCGCCCACTATGCCCCTTCAAAGCCTACTAGACGGATCGAACACGGAAGAACACTTTATTGAGCCCACGTGAAAGGCACTCGTCGGTTCAAACAAACACTTATCGGTATTCTTGCGGTTATTAACTCCTCAAATGTGCCATTGATGATTTCCGGTGGGGAGTTTTAGCCCCTGGATCAGCAGGGGGTGGATTTATTAAACTCCGCGAACTACTGCTGTTTCGATTTCATGCTCTTTGATGAGAATGTTCCTAATTCATGCCGTGGCGTTAACTGAAGATACCGGGTGACCAGTTATATTCTGACCCATTTCAAATGCTTATATCTCTGAAACCATTCAAGTTATCGTTGTGCAGTTTGGACTAGTCTATTTTGATATTTTTCAAGTTTTTTTTGACAGGTTCACCTTCTTTCTTGAACTTCCGGTTCTACCGGAAACAAACTAGCCATTATTCAGGTATAGGGTAACTTTTTTATTTCATCGAAGCACCCTGTATATTTTTGCACATTCAGAAAGACTGGTCTCTTCTCTTCCTAACAATGTATAACAAGTTATGTTTTCTTAGAAAACTATCAGAGTTATAACTCTTTGAAGCATCTACTGCATATTAGGATGTTATCCTGAAATGCTGAATTACCGTATATTATTATGTATTGAGTATAAATCTGATGCAGATTTATGATGAGTTCATTTGCTTTTTCAGTCAAAGTAAACATTTTTTCAACTCGAAGAAAGTACAAATGCTCGACAATCTTTATTTGACACATCTAATGTGGCATTTCATGTGTTGTGATCAGGATTTCCAAAGACGACCTTGGTTACATTGCAAAATCTCATTAAACCATTCCACATGCAGTAGTTGTTTCAAACAGTTATAACTCTGATAGTTTTCTGAGAAACCATAACTTGTTATACATTGTTAGAAAGAGAAAAGACCAGTCTTTCTGAATGTGCAAAAATATACAGGGTGATTCAATGAAATAAAAAAGTTGCCCCATACCTGAATAATGGCTAGTTTGTTTCCGGTAGAACCGGATGTTCAAGAGAGAAGGTGAACCTGTCAAAAAAAACTTGAAAATTATCAAAATAGACTAGTCCAAACTACACAACGATAACTTGAATGGTTTCAGAGATATAAGCATTTGAAATGGGTCAGAATATAACTGGTCACCCGGTATCTCAGGTCTGATATACAGGGTGACCCAGGGTTAAACCGCCAAACGTTCAGGATCAGTTTTTTAGGCAAAAATAAGACTCTTTCTTCCTATAGGCATGTGTCCTAACTTGCTTTTTTTATTTTTTTTTATTCGGAAGTGCTCGCAAAAGGTTGGACCTATAATCCCGTGGTGGAACTGCGAGCACTAAGGAGGGACAAATATCGATGGGTCCTCGTCTTGAAGGTAAATGGATCATAGTTCGCTGGAAATACATCTGTGGGTAAAGAATTCCACAGGTAAGATGTCCTACAAAAGAAGGAGTTCTTGAAATATGTTGTTCTAGGTGTTTCAATTTTGACTGCATATTGGTGTGAGACTTGAGCCAGCCGCGTTTGGCGAACAAAGGTCATTCCAGGGGGGACAGCTGATGACAATTCAACAGAGCATCGTCCATGATAGTAGCGATAGAAGAGTGATAGGTCTGCAACGTCTCTCCGATGTTGTGAAGTTTGCAGTGATCTTGTCAGAGTTGGGTCATTGATGAGCCTGATGGCTCTTCTTTGAACCGACTCCAGCAACCTCAGGGAGTGTTTTGGAGCTGATCCCCAGACGTGCGAACAGTACTCCTGATGGTCGAATCTAGGCTTTGTAGAGTGTCAGAAGCTGTTGTGAGGTGAAATACTTCTTCGCGCGGAAGAGGAATCCCAGCTTTTGAGAGGCAGCTCTGGCTATATTGGCAACATGGTCATGCCAAGATAAACTGTCAGATACCGTGATGCCGAGCTTCATTTCAGAGATATAGGGTGTCAAATTTTTTAGAAAAAATCAGTTTGTCATTATAATTACTCGAAAACCTTTGGGCTGATTTGATAAAAATTGGCATGTTCATTTGAGGTAATAAGGGGCTTCTGTTTCCTGTTTACTTATATGTATGTTAATTTTTTAAATTATACTTCCAAAGATACAATTTTTTCGTCATCGATTTCCTTTGTATCCATTGATTTTTTTGAAAAAATTCAATAGCTATTTTGTATAAAGCTGCGAGAAAATTACATTTCACTGAAAACGTGGCGTACAATGATTTATCCTAATATTAGACCGATTACCCTCTGGGACGCTTCTGGAAATAATAATTTCATTCTAAGTAAACAGTTAACAGGAGCTCCTTATAACCTCAAATGAGCATGCCAAGTTTTATCAAAATCAGCCCAAAGGTTTTTGAGTAATCAATGAAAAACTGATTTTTTCTAAAAACTTTGACCCCCTATATATCTCTAAAATGAAGCAAGTTAGGACACATGCTCATAGGAAGAAAAAGTCTTATTCTAGCCTAAAAAACTGATCATAAACGTTTGGCGGTTTAACCCTGGGTCACCCTGTATAATTTGATCCAGAACAATGTAGAAGTGACTTTCCTAAACTAAAATCATACCTCCTGTTTGCTTGTTCTCTGGAAATGATACCAGGAGTAGTGGTATGACGAAAGAATCAATATGTGACTCGATCCTTCTTTTTTCATGAAACTCGTTACTTTAATAATTTCTCTATGGATATAAAAGAATGGCTGGAGCGCGAGACTTCTGTAGATACTATTTGTTCTTTAATTGGTATCTTACTCTTTATCTCTTAACTACTGATATATAAACTATGTATACTTAGAGAAGCTCCTCCCCCTAGTTAATTAGTCGAGAGAAGCCACCTTGAAGAAAATGCAAATGACATGTTGACTACCATCTAGGCGTCTAGCGAAGCCGAACAAAAGCAGAATTTGCGAGTCGAACGAAGTCACTTTTGATCCGAATGAAACATGCTATTATTTCTGTATCCGAAAGAATGAACTAAAATGAATATGTGAAGTAACCACCAATGTGACTTACTTGACAGATAATAATAATACCTTTATTATAATAATACATATAGATAAGTGGATAGAAGCACAACCTCAGAATATTTTATATTAGAATATTGGTGGACGATTTATATTAGAATATTGGTGGACGATAACCATACTTTGTTACAATTTGCCGCGACATATTATGTGTGCAATGTAACAGATAATCCGTGTGGTGAGAATATTCTACCTGCATTTACAGATCAGGTTAATTCAATTCTCAAGGATGTTCGAATTGTAGTTTCAATATAAATACAAAGACAGAGTGACCCATTTGTGTATTCTATTGAATCGATGAATTCATTTGGACCAGGTGTCAGCCCTAATAGCAAATACCGCACCAGTGCCAGGTATAGGAAAAAGAAGTGGAAAATGTTAGGTTAGAGAGCATATCAACAATAATAATAGCGATTATTCATTTCTCTACATATTCCACTGTGTTTGGCTCGGTAATCAAGAGAAAGTAAACAATATCGTTGCCTGAGACAAAAAAGTATTGCTGGCCGTGATTATTCAAAAACAAGTTATCCAATCAATCAGATTTCCAGAATGAATGAAATACAGATCAAGTATGTGAATCTTGAAGGCTTTCCTGATCGAAACACAAATACTTGACTATAATATGGTGTATTTATATCTCCAGCATGAGAATCGGAATGCCAAATCTGCTGAAATCGGGAACAAATCAGGTATGCTTTCCATCCCAAATAACCAACCATTACAATGTTGTTTTTTCTTGATGACCTAGTACATCCTTTTTAGTTCCTAGGAGCTAAAGTTCAACTTTAGCTCCTAGGAACTGAAAAGGAATAGAAACGTCAATTCAAGAGCTATTTTTGGTAATAAAATCTACTACTTTTGTGTCGGGTGCAGAAAAATGTATATTTTCATAATTTTCTCCAAGATGACTCCCTGTCGATAATTTTCAGTTCAGAAAACTATTCTAGATGCTAATATAGAGAGTTGAAGATTGCACTAGAGCATGTAAATAGCCGTTTTGTTTTTTTTAATGAATACTTTTGTCTTAAATTCTGATATCATACAGATAATTCAGATAATTGAATAAAGTTCCAAATGAGGTGTCACTCGATCATTCATTCCTGAAAAAAAAAATGGCGTCCAGGTGCAATTTTTTGAGATGTATATTTTTATCGGTATCATAATGTAGCCTTCTGCTCGAATAACCATTGAAGCAAAACGAAAATAGAATACATTCAATCCTCCAAAAGTTGACTATATGGAGTTCATTACTTTAGGGTGTTTATAATTCAAGAAATACAAACTCACCCTCAAACATAAGTGCTGATGTGGATCATGAAATAATTCAATAGGTATAAAAGTTTGACATATCAATTCGTGATGTAGACTCCTTTCTTCTTTTTTTTTCTAATTATTCATAGCACCAAGGATAACTTCGATATGTAAATGGGGACTCCTTTGTGTCTGTCCTACATGCTACGTGGATTTGTAATAATAAACAAAACTAGATCACCATTCGTTCATGAACTCTATTATTTTTTCAGTTATTTTTATTAAATCAATTAGTAGTTATGAAATAATCTGACGGTTCTCTATAAATCCTATAATGCCATGCAAAATGTTTTAATCAAATTTGTTCAAACTGCAGTTTATTTATATTTGCATGATATTTTTCTGTGACGGTGTTTTAATGAATAACAATGATACTGTATAATATATTTATTTACATTTCAAAAATTATTATGTTTATGTTTACATTTGAACATGTATAAAAACAAATAATTCAATTGCGAACGGTTTGTTTGATCAAGACCGCGTATCAGTTGATTAATTTCGAATATTGGAATTATACACAAAACAGGGAAATTAAATTAAATTTTTGCAGGATTCACTCATCATCTAGAATTATTACACAACAAACTGAAATAGTGAACTTGTAGCAAGCAGAATTATCAGGATTTTGAATCACAGAAGATTACTTATTTTGAATTTGTCCACAATTCCTGAGTCAAAATAAAATATATTCACCATTTGCAATATATAATATACTAAATTATGATGAAAATACACAACTAGGTAACGTACAAAAATGTACATATTGGACGAAATCAAATAAAAATATAATATGACCGATCCAATAACACTACAACATTGATTGAAAAGAAAAAACAGTGATGAAGGTAAATCTGAGAAACATTAATTATTTGAAGAGATTCTCAGTAATGGATACGCTCTTCTTAACATTTTTTCGCAAAATTTATTTGGTCTTACCAATTACCACTAGTTTTTGAGCTACTTATCTCAATCAAAGCTTCATCTTTTATAGCATCTCTGTGAGAATGACTAATTTATGTGAAAAATTGAAATGCCCTTTCTTCAAAATCAATGTAATAGTCCTTTCGATTTCGAAATTACAATAAAATTCAATACGTATATACAAATCTTCGTTTAACTCTATCATTATTGTACATTTGCCGCAGTTAGGCCCAAAATCTATATACAAAAACACCCCGTGTGATATGCACTCGTGATATATTCGATTGTCCGTAGCTCATCGTTTGTACTTTGACTAAACCATCTGGTTCATGTAGTCCAGACTACAGTCAGAAGGGTGCCGTGGACTGAAATTTTGATGGTGAGTCGCCGCAGACATAGCCATACCTGGATAGCTCCCCATCTGGTACGTACCCCCCATGTGGTTCCCCATCTGCATCTGGTTCTGGGAGTTCTGCTGGTTGAAATAGTCCATTTGGCTGTAATAAGCCGGGTTGTAGTTTTGCCCATAATAGTGGTGGGGAGAGGAATTGTGACCATTCGCGTGCCAATTAAAGGAGTTATACCCTTCGTGCTGGTAGGCCAGGGGTGGGTTACTGCTTGGGGTGATTGGAGGCGAAGGGGTTGTCATTACGCTCGAGGTATTGCTGCCCAGCGGCGTCAGGTTCCCGTTGTTCTTGTAGGGTTGTACTTGGGGGGACTCTTTCTTGATGTTCGCCACGGGAGGGGAAACTGATGTGGTGGGAGTGGGGATGTTGACTGGGGGAGCCACTGTCGTGGGGACTGCAGCAGGGGGCTGTTTGCTGGGCTTGGACTTCGTAGGGGTGGAAGGGGTACGGTTGGATTCTTTCTGTTGCTGCTGCTGCAGCTGCTGTCTGCATTTGGCTCGCCTGTTCTTGAACCAAACCTGGAACAGAAGGAGAGTGTGCTTAAAAAGGCCGAAGATGAAAATTGATTAGAATTTACAATAAAGAAGTTTCGTTTGCATTTTCAGTTTTATTGTGGCAAAATAATTTGAAGAGTTTTTGAAGCAACTACAAACAATTATTCCGAGTAGGATACTCATCAATTCATAGTTCAAATTGGGGAGTCTGTCAGGGAGAAAGGTATTTTTCAGAAATGCGACACTTATTTTCGATCAAATTTTCAAACTCATCGTTTTCATACACTTCACTACTGTAACATTGAAATTCAAGGGTTCATAGTGAAACGTGAGGAAGAATATTCATCTGGACCAGTTTTGTCAAGGCATTCTTGTAGAACGGGTAGAGTACCTATACAGGGTGTTTGGTTCACCGACGTATATCTGGAAGGGGGTGATAGGTGAGAACATATTTTACCATATACAAGGTGATTCTAAAATAGGTGGTCAAACTTTGGGAGTATATAGAATGAGTGAAATAATTACGAAAACCTCGGTAATATTTTTTTCTGAAGTGCCCCCCAAGAAAGATACAGCCCCTAAAAGAGGGGCCTCGGAGAATGATTTTGTACTATTATCTCCAACTCCTTGTATGATGAAAATCAAAAATTTTGTTTATCCACTAACTATTCAGTGCCGGTTCGAATGGAGTTAAAATCACCTCAAAATTAAATACAGGGGTGTGTCAAAACAGGGAGGTAGGGGGTAAAAATAACCCCAACTTTTTTGTTCATCGCAATTTCAGTTTTTTTACATGAAATTATGAAATCTCAGGGCTATCAACATAGAAAAGGAGCTCTTGTTGGATCTCGATAAACTGAACCATTAGCGAATAAAATTTATTTTTCCAAGATTTCATTTAAATTGAAATTTTGGTATGCACTTGAGTTTAATTATCTAGTTCAAATCTCGCAACTGAATTTTCACCTACTTCTAATCGTCTGATCAACTTGGAATCTGGCAGATGACAGTTGACAACGCGTTATGGACTTTTTGATAATAAAAAATAGGGCGGCTCCAATGTGGCTGACCAGATTTGTGATTATGGTTCGATTCGATTCAAAATTGGTTTGTAAAGGTTTTTGGGGATTGGAAATTTTGAATTCATTGTCGGAATTGATGAATTAACAATGAACGACGATTTTCGTGATTATGGTCTGATCCTATTGAAAATACTAAAATGAAAAATATTGTTAAAAACAAGCTTTTTTTGAATTTTATTCCCTAATAGTTAATTTTATCGAGATGCTACAAGAGCACCTTTTTCGTGTAAATAGCCCTGAGATTTCATAATTTCATGTCGAAAAACTGAAATTGCGATGAACAAAAAAGTTGGGGTTATTTTTACCCCCTACCTCCCTATTTTGAGACACCCCTGTATTTTATTTTGAGCTGATTTTAACCCCATTCGAACCGGCACTGAATAGTAAGCGGATAGACAAAATTTCAGATTTTCATTATACAAGGTGTTGGAGATAATAATACGAAATCATTCTCCGAGGCCCCCCTTTGAGGGGCTGTATCTTTCTTGGGGGTCACTTCAGAAAAAAATGTTACAGAGGTTTTCGTAATTATTTCACCCACTCTATATGCTCCCAAAATTTGACCACCTATTTTAGAATCACCTTGTATATACTATTATACAAAGTGGTTCGAATTCCGATGTATCATCGTTTTTTCAAACATTTTATTTGAGGATTGAATCTCTTTTTTCTTAGAGAGTTGGATCCGCATTTCATAGATATTGAACACGAAATGGGATCTAATGTGCTAAAAACATTTTTTGGCTCGTTGGAATTCAAAAAACGATTTTTGTAACATCCAATTTCGAATGTATAATCGATGATTTTTCGAAAAGTACTACACTTTGTATAATAGTATATATGGTCAAATTTGTTCAAAATCACATAACCTACCACATCCTTCCGTATATACGTCGGTGAACCAAACACCCTGTATATCCAATCAGAACAATATCTTTTGTATACTAAAAATTCCATCAGCCAACCTCGTTTTCAAGCGATAATATGGCACAGGTATCTATCTGTATTGTCATTCATTACTTGATCAAATCAAGAAATGGACATACGATTTTTTCTCGAAATATTCGTCCATTGACATACTCCAACTTGTTGCTTTAATTTTACTCATGACATTATTCCAAAACTTCTCGCCTACGGCTCGTTAGTTTTGATCAAAACAAAGGCATTTGCGAAATTACTAGGCAAAAAGATGTCGTAACAATCGCCAAATATTTTCGGATATAATTGCACAAGTGCATGAAAACTACCGATAATTTTGCAGGAAAGCGTGTTATCCAAAAATTGCAAGAGTTTATTTTCATTTTTTGGCGAAAGACCCCATTTCGATGGAGTAGGGCTCTTAAAAAATATGAAAATAACCGAATGCAATTTGTAATAAAGGTAACACGCGTGATGCAAAATCATCTGGACATTTTATATGCACGAATGTAATTAGTTCATTGGAATATTTAACGAAGAATGAAATTATCGAACAAAAATTTAACTGACAGAGACAATAAAATAAATGTGCTATAAGCAGACATTTAGATTGTATGGAGCACCCACAAAAATGCGACATCTTTTTTCTCTTCTTGAAGTCTATCTGGCATTTGTTTGTATTGTATCACGGTTTCAAATTTACCACTGTAATTTTTCGATAATTGCATTACTCTTTTAGACATTATATATAATTATGAGGTAGATATTAATCAAAATATTATAATATACTTGTGGTATAACATATTATATGAAAAAACTCAACCCAATGAACAATACCTTTGACTTATGATCACTATTTGTAATTTTCATTTTCTGGTACGGTATGATTTTCAAGTCAATTCCATGACGTATATGAAACTGCGATATAAGAACCAATCAGAATGGAGTACCTCAATGGTACGCTGCACCCGAGGGGTAAAAATCTCCGGGAAAAATGTGTACAACAGAATTTCAATGAACAAAGAGTTATAAAGACTTCCAAAGACTTCCAAATACTTCTAGTGATTTCCAAAGACTCCCAAAGATTTTCAGTGACTACCAAAGACTTCCAGTCAATATACCAATGACTTCCACTACTCGGGTGAAAATTGACTATCAGATGTAGGGGACTAAATGTTCATATTAGTAGTTTAGCATACACTATTTGCATTTGTTTGCTTTCATTAATCTGGAAATCTAATGATGAAATGAAATCTGTATCCCCATAACGGAAATATATTTCGAAAAAATATTGGATACGTCAATTTTCATTTTTAAAAATATTTTTTTTGCGTGAATTCTTTCAACCACCATATCTTTCAGGTTCGGTATAGGATCAAATCACAGAAAACCCTCTAACACGCTCCATCGAAGCAACTGGAGTTAAAATTTGCTAAGTTATGATAATGTAATTATACCTACTACATGCGGAACCATTATCTTCAGTTTTTTTCGAGGCTGTCCTTGTAATTAAGAAGTAGGTGCCTGATAGACAATCCAATTGGAGGTAATTTGTTTATATCCAATACCTATAATATTACTAACAATAATTCTGTTCAATAACCATAAATTATTTTCTTCAAATTTCAAAGACTTCCTTTCCAGCTGGTGAGACCACGTCGTCACTGCAACCACGAATCTGAATTGAACAACATCTTGTATCTTGTCACCTGGTATGACATGGATGGGGATTGTCTCAATGAATACAATTCTCGCTCACAATACCGACAATTTTGTCAGAAATCTTGAACCAAAGAAGGGAAGATTTGTATTTCGTGCAAAATAATTTATTCAATACAAATCTTCTCTTCTTTGGTATATATTCACGTGCACACAGCCCAGCAACCTTCAGAAATCTTGAATTCCATCAAATTGCTTCGAGGTAACACCACTCGTCATACGCGGAATTGTGGTGTTACTCCAAGCAATTGGATCTTATTGATTTCTGACAAAACTACTATCATTAGTATTGCTAGCAATGTCAAATAAGTAGATATATGCTATTCTAGAGAAGCAGTGAACATTGTTTTTAGTAATAAATGAATAATGCATAGGTGCCAACAATCATGCATTTGTTTCCATCAAAAATTCCTCATAGTTACAGAAAGGCTTTCAAACTCTCCCTAAATTTTTGGTTGCAATTTCACACCAACTCAAGTTCTAATACGTCTCAGTCCAATTTCTAAAGACGTCAGCATCCACGATAATAATATATTTCAACAGTGACAAGGCAACAAAAGATTTGTTTGTTATCATTGGACGTATACGTATTCGCATATGTTACATGGTCGCAACGCAGGAACATAGCCCAGATTTCTGGGGCATTATTTGCGGTATAGCTTCGACAATGGCACAATACCAGGGGCGGTCTATTTGCCGACCCATCGGTAATGATTCAATTTGAGGAGCAGTTAGTCTTTTCACATGGCACAGCTGTTGTTTGTCTACACTACTAGCGACTACAGTACAGTGTTAGTTGGGCAATTCTAGTCGCTTCGACACTTTGTCATCGACATCAAGGGATGAATAAAGAAAGGGTGGACGATCAATGTTGGTGTTGGTCGAAGGGCGCAATAACAGATTTCAAATTATTAGATTGCATAATGCTGTATAATGACGCAGCAAGGGTTAGTGACATTTCAGAGCATCAAAAATACTAAATAATATAATAATAATAATAATTTATTTTCAAATTCAGAAGAATTACAATTTATCAATTTTATTTTCGAAAGAACTGAATTGAAAATAAAGAGAAAATCACCCCGAAGTCTTTCGACTAGTTCGTGGGTGGAAACTCTTTAAACTCGATACTTTTTTCTTGTTCTTGATGAGTATATATAAAAAATAAAATAAGAATACATATTATACACCAAAATATTATAACATAATCACACAATCACAATCACAATGAAAAAAAAGTAGTATAACCAGTGGAGATCAATGATGACAACCAAATTTATTATTATTATGATAATACAAACTCAT